TTAATTTGTTAATGTCTCTTCTTACTTCCTGATGCATGAGCTAGAGTAGCAGAGATCCAAAAGAGAAACATGGCCAGTTCAGATACCAAAAAAAACCCTCAAAATCAAGAGAAGCAAACATTTACCCCAAAGAATAAATGCAAGGAAAATTTACATTCATGCACTGAAAATTAATGAAATGTTGCAGGTATTATGGGGCAGATGGACTAACAGTACTGCTTTGAACTCGGAATCTCAGGCACAATTTACATAAACCACAAAGTCACATAATAGGAGGTACAGAAAGAGAAAATTCATTTGAATTGCAGAAATAAACAGCAAAATAAATCCACAAATTTACTCTGTAAGATCAAGGCTGTAAGCACCTCTGAATGGAAGAAAAAGTCCTCCTAATAAAGACAGAAGATACAAGTTAGGATGAGTGACAGCAATAGGCTTAGAAGCCAAAAATGTAAAATGCCAAGATTGTGGGTGAAATAGTTTGCTAGACACTTTAACGATTTATTGTTGGAAGTTTTTATCTTCACATATTTATAGCATTTGCTCTCTAGGGTGTCAAATCCAAGATATTCCACCTCCTCCATCCCATTCTCACACACACTGAGAGAGAAGGAAATGCTAATATTTACAAGCAGCACAGAGCTTTCATGTTACTTCCACCATGGTTCAGTAGCTATGTAAGAAGTCTAGCAATAAACAAAAAGTGGTTGTGTGTCTTGTGTTATTGTTATAACACAAGGCGTCAGGAATCATGCATGTGTTTTTTGGCATTTAGTCAAGTCTACAGGACTGTTATGGAAAGTTTATTTTCACTGGCTGCTTACATGAGTGACTACAGGTGGCAGAGACCAATGTGCTTGGATCAGCACTTCTGCGCTACACAAAAAGTGACCTGTGAAAGCAGGAAAGCAGTGCTAAATTAAGAATAAAAAAAGAACAAAAAGACTGCCTTTCACCAACGTGTAGCTGACTACAGTGAGCCATATCAAAATGCTCAAAAAATAAGAGGGGCATTTCTTTCAAGAGCTTCCTGAATAAGATTGTTGAAATCTTGAACAGTTTGCACTGAAGTGGACTTATTTTACAGTGCACTATCACTATGGAAGAAGTTAAAAAAAAACCCAAAACAACAGAAGAACCAACACGAGAAAACAAAAAACAAAACCACTGCCACCTGAAAAACCAACTTAGCTTTAGATAGAAAAAGAAATTATTGTCCCACATTTTAAACTGTGGCTTGTTTGGCCAATTCAGCACTGAACTCAGGCATTTATAAAGAAGAAATACATCCTGTTTTTAAAGAAAGGATAGTATCAAAGCTCCAAGTGTCAAAACTTGACTAAATTTATAACAGTCTTTTATCTCCAAAGTCAATACAAACCTACTTAAAGGACTATTTACAAGGATAAAGGCTTTAGCCAGGAAGACCAGTAAGAGTAACTCAACAAGAATGTCTGGCTAAAAAACTAAGTGCCATTATTAAATTCTGGGGATGATATAATTATTTTTTTGAATAATTATGTATTGCTGTTAGTCTCCCTTCCTTCCTCCTCCAAGATCAGGGGAAATAAAGCTTAATCAGAAGTCTACTTCCTTCAAAAGACTTGTGTTAAAAGGAAAGCAACTCATGAAACTGTTAGGAGATAGGAATGGGTAGATGAGCCATGCCACAAAATTAATATGGATGTTTTAAAAAAAGATTTCCTTTAGATCCAGTAAACTAAGTAATTTATTTCTATAGAAGTAGAGCATAGAGCAGCTGATAAAAGCAAGGCTGCACCAGCATTTTTCTTGGTAAAAAAGAGAGGAGTGGCACTGTACAGCCTGGATTCTGTCCTCAGCTCTAGAGTTCTTCTCTACAAGCAGCCACCTGTGGACTTCAGAGCTATTGAAGCAAACAATGCAGGCTACAACTTCTTTCAGAGAAAATGCTCTTATTCTCCCACTATCCTGAGCCTTGTGGAAAGCCTGAATGGCTCAAGAAGGGGAATCATCCCCCAGAAGACCAGGTGTTTGGCTTCTCATTTTCCATGTTTGAGAGTCCACTGCTGCTCCCCATCTCTTCCCACTTGTTCACCTTTGCACAGTGCTCCCTCAGATCTTGCCTTCTTATCCTACACCTCTGAGCTGTCAGCAGCTGCCCACCTTCCTGCTTGCCTAACACCTCGCTTGCCCTCATCCAACAATATCTGACACTCACCCTCAGCCTGTAATTTCTAGTCCTCTATTCCATATAAAACCATAACCTTCAATCTTGTTACACTCCTCAGAGTAATTCTGTTTTCTTTCCAGTCATTAAAACTCCCACTTACTACAAAATGGTTACTTAACTCAATTCTCCTTAACCCTTTGAGGAGCATTTCATTCCCTGTAAGTACCTTCATATGACTGCTCTGCTCTTTGGTTTCTGTGACCCTCCCCAAAAAGGTCCCCACTGTTCTTCACAGACTCCCAAGTTCTCCAGTTGCTTCTCTCAACTATTTTGTCCCCCTTTTCCATAATAAGGTATGTACCAGTACTGCCATTATGGATCTTCAACATGACTCAACAGCAATGAATGAACTATGAATTCACAGCAAAATTTCACTCTGGTTTGCCTCTGCTATAAATGTCTTATTTTTCCCTTTACCTCACAAAGACTGCCTCCTCCAGCTCCATGGTACCAGCAGTGACAAGCCCACTGTCTGCACACCCTCTGTTACCTTAGGCTCCATCTTCTTGTACCAGATGGATATTCCTGACGTTTTCAAAGAGAAGTCTAAAAAGATCGGACTGAACTCAGTTATCTGACATTCTAAGCAAGTAACCAAACCTTCCATTATCTCCTGTACACCAATCTCCCAAACAGAAAAATTTCAGGCCACACATTTCTCCTTTTCAAGTGGGCATTACAGTTTGGTGCAGACATACTGACTTGGCCTCATATTTTCTTTTGATCAAAAAACCACAGCATGGTTTGGGTTGGAATAAACTAAAGATCATTTGGTTCCAACCCCCTGCCATGGGCAGGAAGTCCTTCTACTAGACCAGGTTCCTCAGGGCCCCATCCAACCTGGCCTTGAACACTTCCAGGGATTGACCTCCACTGCCTTGAACACTTCCAGGGATTGACCTCCACTGCTTCTCTGGGCAGCCTGTGTCATTATGTCACCACCCTCAAAGTAAAAAAAAATCTTTATAATATCTAATCTAAACCTACACTCTTTCAGTCTAATGCCATTCCACCTTCTCCTATCATTACATGGCCTTGTAAAAAGTCCCTCCCCAGCTTTCTTGTGGGCCCATTTAGGTATTGGAAGGTGCTGCAAAGTCTTCTCAGAGCCTTCTGTTCTCCAGGCTGAATACTATAAATGTACAGAGTGCCTTTTCAAAAGTCCTAGTTTCCTGTAAGAAAGAATGCCAGAAGATGGGCAATTATTTGCACAAAGTCCTATCTAAGACAATTAATGTTACCTTTATGCAGAGAGACCTTAGAGGATCTCTAAGCTTCATTCTTCACTGCGTCACACACTGGTTAATCATCAAAAACAGTGCAGAAAAGGCACAAAGTTTTTGTGGAAGAACACTTAATCTTGTACAGCCACAAGTGATACAATTTTCCACTACCAAGTTTCTTATGCATCCACATGAGTCCCCTTCTGTACTTTGGACGAAGTAACTCAAGGCTGCCTTATTTTGCTTCTTGCATAAATACTGGACTGAACCATGAGGATGTATGCTTGTAGTCTCTGTCAGGTGGGGAAACAGAGCTCTCAAGAGTGACAAAACAAGTACAGTTATTTCTGATTTATATGTGAGGAATGCAAACACACAGAGACGGGGACTTCCAAAGAATCTACGGGATGAAACACTCAGTGCATGCCAACTCCCTTACTCTGCTTATGACTTGGAAAACAACCTTCATACTTCGCAGTCTGGCTATTTCTAATTTTGAAGGCTACAGAGCAAAGGAAAACAGCCTAGTAGCACACTGGATCTGTTCAGAGAGCATCTCCAGCTCGCTCAACAACAAAGCACCTGCACTTCTCCAGCTGCTTCCAAGCCAGCAGGTGTAACAACACAGGAAAGACAGATCAAAGGGACTCTGTTGACAGCCATCCAAAACAATGCACTCTGCAGCCAGGGCAATGAGCCAGAAAGGGAAAGCAAGCACAGGCCTTCACAGAGCAACATGGGGCTGGACAGGGAAAACACACCAGGCTGAATGGTAGTGGCTTGACCACGCAAGATTTTGATGGCATGACTCAGTTGGACATACATTTCTAAGATCCCACTTTAAGAGTTTTTTTCCCAACCTGAAATTGTTTGTGGTCTAGAGATGGGACAAGGAGCCAAGGACTTTTGAATTCTCATTCTGTCTCTGCCATTGGCTATTTCATCACCCTCAATTCCTGCGCCTCAATATCCCACCATCTATTTCACAAAAGTACTGTGAAAGTTACTGGAAATTTGTGGAAAGAGAAATAAAGATAGACACATATGAACTATTACAGCTAATACTTCATTTGTTATCAAGTGTTAACCTTTAGTGCTGTGTAACATGCACATTTTTCCTGCATGAATTAATTTAACCCAAAATTATTAGAACAGTAAGGAAAAGTTCATGATTATTTATATGCTTCATCTCCAGTCTCCAAAATGCACGTCATTTTTGGAAAGTGTACTTTTCCATCCTTGAAAAGGGCTTAAAGGAAATAGTAAAACTATGTACTTCTCAAAGTAAATCACTGCCCACTCTATTTTAAATAATGATTACAAATGACTGTTGACAATAAAAACAGTTTTACATTCTGAGGATACTGCCTACAGTTAGGCACATTCCCCACCTGATAAGGGTTTAAATAAGGATTCAATGTTGCTGAGCATTGGCTACTGAAAAGGCTGTTCAGCAGTTTCAAGTCATGCTCATGAGCCTTCATGATAGAGTAAATTCAAAGAAGATGGTCTCTTAACCATTAAAAAAGCCATTAGAATAAGCACATTATAAACAAATCTCTTACCTATGAGTATCCTGTTTTTGGCAATGCCGTTCTTAACCTCATCATTGATCAGGTCTGTAAGGCCCCGGCACATAGAATCAATGCTTTCAATGTGTTCAGGACAGTCATTACAGATCTTATACCTGTCAAACCACACATTGGAAAAGGCTCCTTTCATAGGTGTATATGGCCTGGAGTGGTGGAAGGAAAGAAAACAAATGATTAACCAAGCACAGGATTAAAAGCCTTGAGCATATATAATGAATAAAAATGATCCTGTGTATCTCCAGCAAAGCAGAGAAAAACCTCTTTGAGATCTTACTCCATTTACATCCAGTCACATTGCATTTCCTTGCATTGAAGTCATGGTCCTTCAAGAATGAAGCCAACATTTGGAAGCTATGTAAAATTTGCAGTTTTCAGCCAGTTCAATGTTAAGGTTGGTTAGGTCAGCTAAACATTTTAAATCTTTAAGCCTGTCAAGAGGCCCTTAATCCTAAACAAAGTTAGGGATGAAATCCATGCTGGAATATGACAAACTGAAATAACTTCTAAACAAGATAACTTTATGGAATTCAATTGCCTAATTCTTGACAAAACTGACAGAGGGTGGGTACTATAAACCTCTAGGTATTAAAAACACCTGCCAATTTTTCTTTGTGTCAAATAAATACAACCATCCTTATCTTAATGGGGCAGATATCTCATAAACATAACTGAAAGAAATGCCATGTGCTTACTGGACTGGTGCACATACAAGAGATATGATACTCCCCACCATAATACTGCGTTGTCTGAATGTTATTTTAAGTGCTTCAACAAGCTGCCCAAATCAAGAAACCTTCAATTCAAAGAAGACTTTTCTTTGGTTTTAAATAAAGATGATTAATAGAGCCCTGAAATCCCAAGAAAGGTGATCTAATTGCCTTGCAATGGCCCTACAATATGTTACAAAACATACTGCTATGAGATTGATCATCTCAAACAAAGCCCCTTGAAACCCTTATTTGCTAGGTTCAACCAGGGCAAATTCTTCATTTTTACTTAAGCTTAGATCAGATTATAATCCTTATCCACAAAACAGACAGATTTTGATATATTTCTGGATGAGAAAACACTGAAAATGCTGAAGCTGACTTCTGTGCTGTCTCTGGAATTTCTTCAATACTAGGATTAAACAAAATCACAACTAACCTAAAATGAGAAAGCCATTAATTCAGTTATTCGTAATGAAGGAACAATTATGCCTTTATTAACATCAAAGAGGCTTCATATATGTAAACAGTTATTTCTAAACCAGTACACTAGGATGAGTGTTCAAGATAATACTATTTGCACTATTAATATTAATATGTGAATTTTACTTAATTAATAATTAATAATATTATTAATAAGTATTAAAATACTTATTATTTATTGGTCATAAAAGTAAAAAATGAAAGAACATAGATTTTCTTCTGCCTGTTGTCATGAACACAAAAATAAAGTCCATAACTTAAAAGCTGGTAAGAAAAATATACTGAAAGAGGCAAGAAACAGCGACAGATAGGTACAAACAGAAATACTACAGGTTCACCTTTTTCAGCAGAGCTTCAGGGTACCTAGAACATACCATTATTGAAAGTGCCATACAATATGTGGTCCAGTGCCTGAAGTAACCCCTCATTTCCTTAATTCAAAACAAACTGCACACTTAAGCACCAGAATTCAAAATACCGAGCTATTAGTGTTCAAGGTATCCCTTACCTGTCTATTAAAAAGTTAACTCCGAAATTAAAAGGAAATTCAGTGGAAATATCTTGGATAATGAGCAACCTAAAGCTACGTTTAAAAAACAGTATTAAAATCCTTTTGCTTTTTTATTGTCTTCTCTCTAGAATTCTGTCTCCAGGATTCTTCCCAAATGAACCGATCAACACCTAAGAAATAAGATTACAAATACCTAATTCACAAAAGTCAGTTTCTAAGAGGAGACACTCCAGTCAAATCTATCAAGAGCAGAATCAATGGAGTTTCTGGAAGTCTCCTGGACAATGTGATGTACAACAGATGAAATGCCGGGACAAACAGCATTTAAAAATCCATGATTTAACCTTCTCTCAAACATTCTTACATCAGACCTGGTTAAAATGCTTAGCAGCCAGAGTGCTTCATTTCTAGTAAAGTCAGACTACCTAATACTAGCATAAAAAAAATGATGTAAAAGGTTTTAGTATTACTACAGCAGGTTGACCTGAATTTATCATTACAGCAGGCTGACCTCCAGGATTTCCATGGAACAAAGATACATACATATACTGCATTACAGCAATTTACCTTCATATTCCATAAATATTAAAACATGTTTCCCCACAACTAAATGACAAGATCCTGACATTTAAAACAGGTCAATATTCATCATGAGATTATAATACTTGATCAGATGTTGAAACTCAGGACTTCTATCTGTTTTCTTTGCAAATTCTTCCTAAATCAGATGAAAGACCAATGTCTTTCAAGCTCACAGGAAAAGACCCCCAAGCAAACAGACAAGTGACTTTCATCTGCTTCAGAAGCATCCTTGCAAGCACTCTTGAGTTCTCAGAAGTGCATTAAAAATAACCTTTACATAAAGCAGAGAAGTTAGATTCTTTTAATGGTTCACCCAACTGGCACATCTGTTTTAGTCATTCACCTTTTTCCTTAAATAATCCCTTTATTAGCTGGCACACTACAACTCAGACATTACCACGGTAAACAAATATGTTTGGCATGGAACCATTTGTAGAGCTCCAAGAATACAGCACCAATTTTTTTCATACAATTAAACCACAAAAAACCAAAAAAAATCTCTATGTTACAGTGACATGAGAAGCTGGACTGAAATATGCAAAAGCAAAAAAAAATACAGAGTGGAGTGGAAATTTCATCCAACAAGATCAACATGGTCAGTTAAGGACAATGTCAGACAAAAAAAATCAGCTTTAAGTTTGGAATGTTTTTTGCTTTCTTAATTAAAACTCATACCATTAGTCCATCTGTGCCTCACTTTCTTTATTGTCTTTTAAAAATTATACTAGAAATAAAGTTCTGTGTCTCTAATACTGTGTGCTGTTGAAAGTGGGAATGAAAACATGGAGTTTTAACCAAGTGGTGTGGGTATGCTTTCTTATTTGGTTTTAATGGGTGTGCATGAGTATCTCTTGCTTGGTCTGGAGTACATAAAAGATTCAAATGCGTATAAGAAAACAAGAATCAAGAATCCTCTCTCTGGGTAGATCCAGTTTCCAAACTTGTATCCATTTTTAAGAGACAAAAGAAAAAAAGTTCAATTTGTATGAATTTCTCTCTTAAGATTTAAAAGTTAGGAGAACAGACAGCAAAGGAGACATGGCTAATATCAAACATTTAAGAAACTGTAGGAATTAGAGGACTGGAATCTTTAAAATGCTTCCCAACATCCCCAAATCACTCTAAATCATGTTTTCTGATTACTTTATAGCTCCTATTTTTAAGTATGTCATTGTAGATCAATATACCTCTTGCATAAGAGAGGAGTCTCAAGAGGATCCTACACAATACTTCAATGTCTTAAAAGGAAAAAATATCCTGTAATATCTTTGTAAGTACTTATCATCCTTTCTATCTCAGACAGAAGTCATTTTCACTGCTGATTTCACTGCAAAGTTTCAAAGCAATACATAGCATTACAGATTTATCAAACTCAAGACAGATTAGCTTCTGCTAACCTCAGTTCTGTAGTACTGAAGAAAACATGATGGAAGTAGGTAGTAGCAACACCATCTATTTCCACCTTTCTGAAGCATGAATATATCCTCTAGACCTTCTTACTCATGTTTAGAATTGTGCCAATTAGTCTGAAATTATCTTAACAGAAGTGCAGAGTAACTCAATGATGCTACAAAAGGTTCCGTTTTCAATTTCAGATCTCAAACCATGGTGAATTTCATCTCCAAAATGATGCTATTAACATAGTGATTCATATAAAACTACAGGTGGTTTTGTTCATTACTCAATAAATCACAGTCCCTATCCAACATTTTAAGTTAGAAGACAAGCCAGCGGTTCTAGCTGCTTTAAATAAGAGTAGAAGACAGCATACTGATAAATGGCAAATATTCTTCCCCCAACTCTTTCTCCTGATACACAAATGCATCACTGCCTTCATGCTCAGCACTATGATCACCCTGAATTAGCAGACACATAAACCCAGACCACTGGTGCTGGCTTACAGGCTTTCAGACAGAACTTCCCAAAATGTCAGACAGAACTGGAAATTTATAGTGAAGTTGGGCTTCAAGATTGAAATAAAGACAAAGAAAGATTAAAAAAAAATTACTGAAATCCTCAATTTTTCTTGCTTCCCAAAACCATCTCCTCTCAGATAGGAGGTAGGGCCTCTCAAATTCTAACATTGTCTTTCAGAAGACAAAAAAATCTACAGGGCACACTATCACAGTAGTTCCACATTGCTCTGGTGAGAATCCAGCTGGAGAACTACAACCAGTCCTGGAATCCTCAAAACAGTAATGACATGGATCTGTTGGAGCAGGTACAGAGGAGGGCCACAAAAATGATCAGATCACTCCTCCCCACAAAGAAATGCTGAGAGTTGCATTTGTTCAGCCTGGAGGAGATAAAGCTCCAGGGAGACCTTGTTGAAACCTTCCAGCACTTAAAGGGACTTATAAGAAAGATGAGAACACATATTTTAGTGGGACCTCTTGCAATAGGACAAGGGGGAATGACTTTCAATTTGAAGTGGTTGGATTTAGACAAGATATAAGGAAGACTGGTTCTTAAAATAAGGGTGCTGAAACACCAACACAGGTTGAACAGAGATTGTAGATTCCCACCCCTGAAAACACTTGAGGACAGGCTGGATGGGATTCCAAGCAATATGATCTAGTTGCAATGTCCCTGTTCATTGTTGGAGGGGGGGCTGTTAAACCAGATGACCTTGAAATGTCCCTTCCAATCCAAAATACTGAGTGGTTCTAGAAGCAAGTCTTGACTCTCTTAAAGCTGCTGACAGATTTTTCTAATGAAAGCAAGTTAGTCCCTAATTCCAAATTCTCTCATAGCATAATGTCACTGCTGAATTTCAGGACTACATTTCAATAGAAAATTTAGGTCCAAAATATGCTTTTTAATTCCCACTATCTGCTTGAAGCAGAAAGCAAATTTTAAA